TGAAACTTCGTCAGTAGCCATGGGAGGCAGCCACAAATGTTTCCAGCTTTTGTTACCCTCTGATTTATAGTTGGCCACTGTGTCCTTGAGGTGTTAGTTTAGATTTCCTGCTAACCAATGGGTGGGCTCTGTTCATGTATTGTGTTGCTCAAAGTAAGCTGTTGATGTCACTTTTATGGCCTTGTAATTGTCCTCCTAATTATGGACAACAAAGAGATGAGGGGTGGATGGCTGGGAATTGACTGGTTGTGTTCCAGGGGAGAAAGTAATAAGAAGGGGAAGGACAGCCTCCGCTGTGTTAATGTGGGAGTGAAGGAGAGACTGCTTGTGGCGGAGTGGGAGCAGGGTTCACTCTTTTCATTTAGATCCTCAGATATGTAAGGTTTTCCCCCCAAATCAGGGACGATTACATTCCTTTTTTCTCCACAGCAAACTCGTATGTATCCAAGCCATAATATATCCGGGGACACAGTTTTTAAGGTCATGGAAGTGTTCAGTTAGCCCTGTCAATAAACAAATCTGTCAGAGGTCTAACTTTGCATCTAAAGCAACATTTGTGCTTATTTCACAGATTTCATATCGTGTAAATCCTCTGGGGGTTTTTGGGAGGCTTTGGGCCGGATGCTGCTTTGTTGGTAGTGCTCATTGGCATTCAAACACTGCTGGAGTGCTGCAGAGCACAGCGGCATGGTATGGCAAAGGGGTGTGTGTGAAACGGAGAGATGAAGGGTGAACTGAGGAGGAGAGATTTTAAGTAAACTGAGTAGACTGCGGCGAATTGTACAGTACAGTTCTAACCTTTGGCCCGCAGGAAACTTTAATGATTGAGCAGCTGTCTATAAGGACCTCAGTACTTTTTCTGGTGTCGATCGAAATGTGTCCATAGAATATAGAATTTCAAAATCAGTCATCTGGTCGGTCATCTGCTGCCTTGTTTAATTATTTGTTCATCGGATACTGAACTGATTTAAATAACAATTTAATCATTTAGGGACAGTTTTTGAACAACGATGGAGGAGTTTGATTTCTTCTGTAAGATGAAACTCAGGGGAAATACTGTTTTTCTGAACTTAACATTTGATCTTCACTGCTTGTGTTTCACTAACAAGTTTAGAATGACTAACACAAGTTCCTTTGATACACACTCAAACACAATGGCCTCTCTTCTGCGATGGCACTGTATCAATATTATGTTCTCTCCACCCTTCTCTGTTCCTGTTTGCACAGCCCAGTAAATGTACCCACCTAGTAATCCCTAATGGAGGAAATCCCAGGCACTCGTTATTCTCTGCTCTCTCTCTCCCCGTCTCTTTGCAATTCACACAGACTTTTTCACTCTGTTTGTCTTTCACAGACAAACCGTGTTAAAGTTGTTAAACTAACTTCACCCTCCGCTCATCTGCTGCAGTGTGGAAAAAACTTTTTTCACACAGGAAGATCTGTTCACTCAGGTTTTCTCTTGGTGTCACTTTTGACCCGCTTTTGTTTCCCTCTGTCTGTCTGTCAATTTCTTTATGTCACTTTCTCTTCCTCTCTTCTTTCTGTGAGTGTTCCTGGAGAGCTGCTGTGTGTCTGTACGCTTGCACACACTTACATGTTCCTCTCTCATACCCTCTCCCCCACTTAAACACTGGTTTCTGGACCAGAGCCAGCTGTTGTGTTCCTGAGTGTCACCGTTTGCTTGTACAAGTCCTCTGGGAAAACAATCATGCCTTTCCCTGCATTCAGACATGCCTGTGGACATAAAAAAAACGTGTACAATACCAAGCACACATACTTTTCCGTTGTAGATAAAACACACAGAAAAGCTGGAGACAAATGATCCAGCCATCGGAAACATATACTGTTACAGAAATGTCAGGTCTGTTGTATAACGTGAATGCCACCTGCCGTTGAACAACAGCCTATTTTATGACGTAGAATCATGTGTCACAGTGGCCTAATTCCCTCTGTTAGGCTGCATAATGTCCAGCCAGCGTTGGTGTTTTCTAAGGAATAGCCTACTCTGTGTGGATGAGTCTGTGAAAAACACTGAGTTCGCAGGAAGGGAAGCTCTATAACTGAGATAAAGAAGACAGAGTGATGCATAACGTGACACACCAAAAGAAGTGCTTTATGAGCACTCCCAGGGTCAAGATCCTGCTATAGAACAATAGTCCTTCAGAGAATGGATAGGAAAAATAACAACTGATGGACAAGTTACAACTTCTTTTAACATATTAGAGAATCGTGGTGAGTGTCAGATGGATCCTGACCGAGGGGGAGTTATAGAAGAGAAAGAGTGGATGGAGAAAGAGAGCAGCAGGGTTACAGTAAGTTTATTCCATCCATGTGCTTGTGCCTACTACTCATCAGAACAGTCAGTCAGTGCAGCTCACAGTTTGATACAACTGCAGTCTTTTATTATGGCTCTGAGCACCTTCTTGGCCTCCTGCTAATGGGGGTGTTATTTGGTCAAGGCACTTTAAGTTCTCTGTGATGTAGAAAACCAAGCACACCCCTTTATTTGGTGCACTCTTGAGCAATTTTGTTCAATGTTTTTCTAGTTTTTCTTTTGCCACCTTATGTCTTAACCTTTTCTTTATATCCTTTTTTTCTCATGGAATTCTCACTAAACAAAGTATCGTTATTAAGTAACATCTTTAATGTTTTATAGAAAGCAACCACAGGGCTTGTATGTTTATTAGAAATCCTTGATCAGTGCCATTATGAAAGTAAATGTGTTTTTGTGATTGAACAGAATTAGCATTGGAACTTTAATAATGTATAGAGATATGACCTTCAGTGTCAGGGATTCTGGCAATGCAGTTTTTCTGTGTTTTTCTGCAGAAATTTTTTATTTTTTTTACATTCCCAGGTTTAGGTATTTGTAAACAACAGCATATTCGCTGTGCACAGTGCTAATGAGCATGGAGATTAATGACATCTGACTAATCAACGGAAAGCAGTGAATTAAAACCAGTTAAAGAACTTTAGAAACTCGTGCACAAGGACTGTCTATGTCTCACAGGCAGCAGCTAAAGACGTTTGCTGAGTCTGATTCAGGATAATATAGCATTGTGGCATTCAGATTCAGAAGGCATTGGTAGCAGGTTTATAGTCCCCCTTTTGTGGTCTGCCATTGGTAAGCATGAGTTTGCACGAATTAACAGGTTTAAGACATTTGAAGGCATTGTCATTGTCTGACTTAATGATTAATCAGTAAATTGCAATAATAATCGTTAGGTGTAGAGCTCGGAAGTGTAAGTCAATTAAAATAATATAAATCATTTTTGTTGATTTATATTATTTAAATTGACTTACACTTTTTGGTAAATCGTTTAACAGAAGGTGAAACATTTAATGGTTCAGGTTGAATGTGAGAATTAGCTGCTTTTCTGTCTAACATAGTAAATTAAATATTTGGGGATTTTGGCCTGTTTGTCAGACAAAACAAGACATTTAATTGCGTAACCTTGTGCTACAGGATATTGTGATGGCCATTTTTTTAAAAACTATTTTTCATGACGTTTTAATGGAGCAAAGGATAAACTGAGAAAATCTTCTGCAGATTCATTGATAATGAAAATCACCTTTGGTATTTGCATATACTGTGAAGCTGAATGTAGAACTAAAATGATTACTTAGTTAATTATAGAACATATATTTCCCTTGCTGATTGTATTTTATTTGATTACAAAGTAAGCCAAGGACCCAAATGAC